GACGTTTCTGGTCTGGACCCTTCTTCAGAAATGCATTTCTGCAGTGAAAGAAAACAGTGACAGAAAACCCATTTCTGAAGAAGGGTCCAGACTCGAAACATCAGCATTCCTGCTCCTCTGATGCTGCTTGGCCTGCTGTGTTCATCCAGCTCTACACCTTGTTATCTCAGATTCTCCAGACCCATTTCTGAAGAAGGGTCCAGACCCAAAATGTCAGCGTTCCTGCTCCTCTGATGCTGCTTGGCCTGCTGTGTTCATCCAGCTCTACACCTTGTTATCTCAGATTCTCCAGAATCGGCAGTTCCCACTATCTCTATTAAAAAAAAGTATGTCCCTCTTAACACTCACCGAAGAGTTAGGTTTAAATTCCTCCTGAGCTTGGAATGACTGTGATGAGACAAGCATTCTCTGCTTTGAAACTGATATTATCCCTCTCTTCAGCCAATTCTCAATGGTCCCACTGCACAGTACCTAGATTCATTGCTATTATTACATGTCACAAGAAGTTGGGTTTCTACGTTTTGACAAAGGAGGCTAATGGAATTCCTGACGTGACTGACATTTGTGAAATAAATGTGCACTCTGATGTAACAAATTGTCATGGGCTGTTGTGTGACAGATAGAACTGTGTAACTGATGCAAGCCATCTGACTGAGGAGTTAGGAATGTAACAGAAACTGGATTATGTGAAAAATGAAGAAAGCGAAACCAGCTTCTCCAATAGTCCTTTTTACCTTCTTTTCCTCCTCTTGTACAACTGCATCAAGGTATCGGGGGATGTGAGATTCGTATTTCTGATCTTTATTCTTCATGTTCAGGTTTTCACAATAAACGGCATTGTCCCTGAAGCACAAAATAAGCCAGATATTTAGCTAACGGTTGTGAATATATCACATTTCTATTTATATGACACAGAAGGTCCAGCCTGCAAACAGGGTATCAGCCTACAGTTCTGTATTACTGTGACTCCTCACAAGTTTCCTCTCATTCTCCACAAGTAACCTTCAAATCCTTTCCCCATCTAATTCCCATCCCCCTTAATTGCATCTATACTATCCCCCCTCAATAGCTCCATGGATTCCATGATGACTTTCATTAGTGGCCATCTTATATTTATCCGCTGTTCCCAATGTGGCCTCCTCTACATCAGTGAGACCAAGCGGAGGCTCAGAGACCGCTTTGTGGAACACCTACGCTCAGTTCGACAACACCTCCCAGTTGCAAACCACTTCAACTCCTCCTCCCACTCCCTGGGTGACATGTCCATCCTGGGCCTCCTCAAGTGTCACAACGACGCCACCCGGAAACTGGAGGAACAGCGCCACATATTCCGCCTTGGGAGCCTACAGCCCGGTGGTCTCAATGTGGACTTTACTAGCTTCAAAATCTCCCCACCCCTGACCTCATCCCATGACCAACCCTCCCTCTCATCCCCGCCTCCTTGACTTGTCCATCTTCTCTCCCACCTACCTGCTCCTCCTACCTCACTGACCAATCCCCACCACTGCCTACCTGCTATCACCATTCCACCTACCTTCCCCACCCCACTCCACCTCTCTCTATTTATTTCAGAGCCCCCTTCCCCTCCCCCATTTCTGAAGAAGGGTCCCGACCCAAAACGTCAGCTTTCCTGCTCCTCCGATGTTGCCTGGCCTGCTGTGTTCCTCCAGCTCCACACTGTGTTATCTCTGACTCCAGCATCGGCAGTTCTTATTATCTCTGAGTGAGTTATGTTTAAGCTTTCTTGTCTGGTCTCCCCTAGAAGGGCCAACAACTTCTCTATTTCTACCCTAACTAACCTATTCATGATTTTGAAGACATCTATTGAGTCAATCACTCCTGAGGTATTTCTGTTCTAGAGAAAACAGTCCAACTTGTTCACAACCTGTTGAAAAAGTGCAATCCTTCAGTTGTGTTCTCACACCTGTTCATCATTTTGTACCTTCTCCAGTGTCTCTATGTCTTTTTCTACATCTCTACTTGGAAACCAGAGCTCCTCACAATATTACAAGCTCAGTCAATCCAAGGTAAAAGTAACTTCCCCACTACAATAGCAACATAATGTAGATGCTGGAAATCTGAAAGAAACAGAAAATTTTGGAAATTGTGATGGATTTTTTTTTCTCTGTTGTATTTATTCATACTGTGCAAGCCAACAATCTGTGAATATTGCACCATTCAGGGAATGGGGAGTTCCAATGGTTCCTACATCTTGTTCTGCCTAGCAACAGGGGCAAGAATTGTTGCAAAGTTATTAATAGCTTCTTCAAAACAGTCCAAACATTACTGAAGAGCAGTTCATGGATTGAAGTTATTCAGACAATCACAGAGAGAGTGAGGAGCAGACTTCATGCAAGAGAAGTGCTGATAACTGTCCTGCTGAGAATATGACTGAGCACCACCAGTCCTTTACAGTTAGGACTCAGGAGGATCCCAGTAGCTGTTGGATATCTTGGTACAGTTAGGACTTAGGAGAAGCCCTGAAAGCCAGTGAACACAGTGAAGGTTTGAAATTCAGATGCAGAAAAGGTCTCTCAGAGACTTAAAAGAAGCCTGTGAGCAATTAATATTTTGGTTTAGCAAAGTTGTTTCGGGGGGGACGCGGGGGCACAGTGGTGAAAGATATCCGCAAGCAGTATTTGCTTGGTGCAGCTAAGAAATGTTAAAGCTTGGAGAAGCCTACGGTAAAACTAGGTTGGTGAAGGTAGCTGTCCATGAAAAATCTGGGGTTGTATCTGCAAATAGGTGCTCAAGTGCAGTTTCAAGAATTTTTCTAAAATTCATTAATGGGATGAGGGCGTCACTAGCTAGACAGCAATTATTGCCCATCCCTAATTGCCCAGAGGGCAGTTAAGAGTCAACCACATTGCTGTGGGTCTGGGGCCACATGTTGGCCAGGCTGGCAGTTTCCTTCCCTAAAGGACATTAGTGAACCAGATGGGTTTTTCCCAACAATCGGCAATGGATTCACAGTCATCATTAGATTCTTAATTCCAGATATTTTGTTGAATTCAATTCCACCATCTGCCATAGTGGGATTCAAACCCGGGTTCCCAGAACATGATCTTGATCTCTGGATTAACAGTCCAGTGACAATACCACTAGGCCATCGCCTCTCCGTACAGCCAAGGGAGTGTATCACCAGGAAAGATGGGTGAACTACCCAAACATTAGCAATTGTCGAGGCAGTGGCTTTTGAGATAATGCCAAGCTAGGCCTTCGAACAAGAAGATCTGAAATCCCTTGTAAAGTTTTAATGAGATTTGATGACCCAGAGTGTCACTAATGTCTGGGAATTGTTGAGAAATCCATGGGATCTGACTTGACTGCATTTGCAATTTGGTATGGTCTGTGAGGTATTCAACCATAGTCTGTTGGTTTCATATATTTGCCTCAGGTTAATTCTGGTTGTTCGAATATAAATTTTATGCATGTGGATATATATATGGTCGATTGTAATTTTGTTCTAACTTTACAAAGTAAAGTTTTTTTGAATATTCAACACAGTGGAACCCTGTGGCTTTATTCACTCAATAAGTCCTTTGAATATGAAACTTTGAAAATTAAGGCTATTGAACCAGCTCATAGCTTAACTTTTGCCATCTGGTCAGAGATCACAGACAAAATACTCAGCAGGTTAAGCAGCATCTGTGGAGAGTGAGAACCAGAGGAATGAGGGAGACTGTATGAATGAGTCAGATAGGGTAGCATATGGCCGTTCGAGAGGATGAGACAGGCTCATTGGCTAGGAGTTGCATTGCAGACCCATAAGGGGGCATGTCTAGTCAGGGTGGGAAGCAGGGGATGGGGAGGGGGATTGTTGGTTGGGTTTGGGGACAGGGTCAGGGACTGGAGGGGTCGGGGGAGCTGAATGATAAGATCAGAGTCAGGGAACATCAGGGGGGACGGTGCAGCATTGGGTTTGAGGGCATGTTGGGTGGGGACGTCATGTTCAATTGGAGTCCTGAAGTCAGGGGTCGAGTAAGGGGTTGGGGGATGTAGGTGATGGCGGGAGGCTGTCAGGGGGTGGTGTGTGAGGGTCGTGTGAAGGGGATGAGCAGCATGAGGTCAGTGGTGCACCAGGCTGGGGGGTATGGTTGGTGGTTGGTGGTGCTCGGTTTTGTGCTTACCCTGAAGCTATAGTAGCTTTGAATCTGTGCAACATTCCTTCAGTAACTATCCAGATAAGTCAGTCAGACACCCCCAAAGTCTTCAACTCCAACTCAGGTTTGGAGAACTTTTTGGAGAGCGCCATTCATAGGGTAATTTTCCCATCAGCAGTTTACCCTTCCCAGGGTAATACCCCTGATGTCAGGATATTGGGAGATCTTGGGGCGGTGGTGAGGGGGGCAGGTATAGGGTTGGGGTGGAAAAGATGTCCCACAGGATACCTATCAGGGCTCATTGCTGTAGTATCTGTCAAGACCCGCCATTGTTTCAGACCTGGGATCTTTCATTTGACTCGTGAAATAACCGCACAGAGGCCGGTATCCCAACACCAAGTCACCCTTTATTTACTTGTGCACAGTACACTGGCTGTGGCCAGCCAGTTCTGAGTCAGTCCCCTCAACTGAGGAGATTCTCATCTCCTGGTTGTATTAGTGACCCAGGGCTTTCCTGATTGGCCCAGGTTAACAACCCCAAACAATGACCTCGTAGTCAATGAGGTCAACCTGGTTCCATTCACTACAACCCATCTGTTAAAGATTTGTGAAGAAAGCTCATCAAACTGAAACATTAACTCTGTTTCTCTCCGTCTCTCTCTTCACAGATGTTGCTAGACCAGCAGAGTATTTCTGTTTTAATAACTGCAGTATATCCAGCCACAAAATTAACACCAGTGATTTCATTCCTTTTTTTCGCAATGGCCCTACTAATCCGTGTCACTATCCTTAATGATTTCTGTATAAATTAAAGTCTTCCAGTAAACATCACACTGTGCACTACTATCTGCAAAACCCTCCCGTTGTACTCCCTTCAATGGTAATGTTTTATGCAGTAATCGAGTGTTAATACTAAGGTCATCACTATCTTGTCACAGTTCCCTGGAAGACTACCAGATGATACTGCAAAAATCTGTTCAGCCTCAAGCACAGCATTACTCTGTAGAGCTGCAGGCTGCACAGTTTTGACTGAAATGCTTGTATCTTTATTTAAAGTCCGATAAGGTTAAACTGAAAATGACCATTCTTGCTGAAGTAATTCCCCAGAGGCTGGTATCCCATCACTAAGTCTCCCTTGATTTACACCTGGAGAGCCCTTGACACTGATCCAGCCCCTCAGAGGCAGCTCTCAGAGTGAACAGAACCTCTGACACTCCTGTTTATATCTGTCAACCAGGGCTCCCTGATTGGACCAGATTAAAAGTCCCAATCAGGGAACGCATACTGAAGAAGATTTCTGAAGAAAGGTCCCGCCCCGAAATGTCAGCTTTCCTGTTCCTCTGATGCTGCCTGGCCTGCTGTGTTCCTCCAGCTCCACACTGTGTTAACTCTGACTCCAGCATCGGCAGTTCCTACTATCTTTCATACTCCATGAGGTCCACTTGGCTGACCTCGTTACAGTCGCTAGAGTGACTTTGTGTGGAGGACGTTTGCACTTCCATCTCATGTGTTTAATGCGCTGCTCTTGTGGATGGGATGCTGTTTCTCCCTGCAGCCCAGACGCCTGTTATGGCCTGAGTTTAATGTTTTATTTGAGGTACACTGACAGTGCATCACTCCATCAGCACAGACTCTGGCATGGTCAGCCTGGATTATACAATCGAAACCCTGGAGTGAGGCTTAAAACCTCCAACTTTTTGACACAGGGGTCATGTGCCACCTCTCCAGCAACAACTGACAGAGCGATTAAAGATGGATCAGAAGTGGGGAGGAGGCAGGGGTGACTACCTTCCCTCTAATCTTGTTTTCCTCTGTGCAGATTCCAAGGGTTTGAGCACGGCAAAGACTCTGAAACCGGAAGTCAACATTGGAGGAGAGTCAGCATGCCGATCCGTGTTTATGGGCCCTCAGGGCAACTGGGCAAAGGTGGGATGGGGGTCTGTGCTTTAGGAGTAGAGTTTAGATATTGTCCCCAACATTTATAAAGTGCATAACTGAGTGCTGGACAATCAATAACATAAGTAGTTTTTTTTTCATTCACAGGATGAGGGGGTCGCTGGCTAGGCCAGTATTTATTGCCCATCCCTAATTGCCCAGAGGGCACTTCAAGAGTCAACCACATTGCTGTGAGTCTCGAGTCACATGTAGGCCAGACTGGGTAAGGATGGCAGTTTCCTTCCCTAAAGGACATTAGTGAACCAGAGGAGTTTTTCCCAACAATCAACAATGGATTCATGGTCATCATTTGACCCTTAAATCCAGATTGTTTTTAAGCGAAATCAAATTCCGTCATCTGCCATGGCTGGATTCAAATCCAGATCCCCAGGATTTTGTTCAGGTCCCTGGATTAATAGTCTAGTGATAATACCACTAGGCTATCGCCTCCCCAGTGTGCCATTGCAGTGTTCCTCTCCATTAAGTAAAATGTGCATTATGTTACAAAGACTGACAAAGCCAGGCAGTATGGTGGCTCAGTGGTTAGCACTGCTACCTCACAGCACCAGCAGACCCGGGTTCAATTCCACCCTTGGGCAACTGTCTGTGTGAAGTTTGCACATTCTCCCCATGTCTGCATGGGTTTCCTCCCACAGACCAAAGATGTGCAGGCTAGGTGGATTGTGCATGCTAAATTGCCCATAGTGTCTAGGGATGTGTGGGTTATATGTGGATGGGTCTGGGTGGGATGCCCTGAGGGTTGGCATGGACTGGTTGGGCCAAAGGGCCTGTTTCCACACTGTTGGGATTCTGCAATGATTTTTTTTTTCCTTTATTCATTCATGGGATAAGGGTGTCACTGGATCGGCAGCATTCAGTGCTCCATCCCTAATGGCCCAGAGGGCAGTTATGAGTCAAGCACATTGCTGTGGGTCTGGAGTCACATGTAGCCCAGACCAGATAAGGATGGCAGTTTCCTTCCCTAAAGGGCATTAGTGAACTAGATGGGTTTTTCTAACAATCGACAGTGGATTCATGGTCATCATTAGACTCTTAGTTCCAGATATTTATTGAATTCAAATTCCACCATCTGCCGTGGCGGGATTTGAACCCGGGTCGCCGGGACATTATCTGAGTCTCTGGATTAACAGTCCAGCGATATTAGGCAATTAATCTCAGTGTCATTGTTAAATACAATCTGTAATGTCAAAAACTCTTGAGGTGCAGTTGTCATGACCCTCCTCTCAGCCAGAATGTCTAGATTCAAATCTCACCTCGGGAAGTAATGGCCCTGAAGGTGTGTGGTAACATATCTAAGCATGTCAATTTTTACAGAGGACTGTGTTTCATAGGAATGCCCTTTCTAGGTGGCACAAGGATCGTGGCAATGCCACTACCAAGCAATGGATGCAGTTTCCACTCCAACTGGAGGGAGAGTCGAGTAAGCCAGCCCTTAGGTACTTAGTAAGGGAGCTGCTTATTGTCAGGCGACAGGAAAGTCCTCAGTCCTCACTCCCACCCAAACTACTGCCTGTCCTTCATTTCCCAACCACAAACCCCCATGGCAGCCCAGAGCCACTCTCTCTCTCTCCCTTACTAGCTCACCTTGAGGAGCTATCCATCTACACTCGTCCATGGCTGAACCTCCTTTGACAGCCTTTGCTTACCTCCCCCGTTCATGCCCTTTGACCCTGCATATGGGCTTCCCCCCCTTCCCCTCCCCCCGCAACTCCACTGTCAGATTTGGAAATTCGACTCTAGTAGGCATGTGACACTATTATACAGAGAATGTAGTGATGTGAGCGGCACTGTCACCAATTCATTCTGGCTTAGAGGCGTCTTTCTCCAGTGACTGACTTCACCACAGCTGTTCAGGCAAATGCAGACGGCCATTTTGATGGGCATCTTTGAGCGTGTATCAATTACTCCGACAATAAAAGCTATGACACCAAATCATGTAGGGCATTTTAGAAGATTTAACTCTTTCAGAAGTGAATGACCATTAATGTGGTGCTATCGTCTTTGCACAGTGCATCTTAGTGGGGCGCATGCTAATGAGAAAACACAGTGATTTTTGCCTACAATGGCAGAACATAGAAGACATTGCAATTCTGAAATTGACACCAGTCCAAATAACTCATGATAACTAGAGGATCATTTTCTGACCAAAAGGGAAGCTGTCTATTTTAACCTTGGATGTCTAATGCGTCAGGGAACTGCACAATACTATAATCCAAACATAGCCTAATTGTGCTGTAGATCTAACTATCAGGGATAATTGTAATAAATATTCTGCAATTTATGGACAACAAACAAATAGTATTTAACAACGCTGCTAGAAAAACTATACTTACTTCAGGAGATCGTATGTCCCAGGTCCAGGGCCCTCACGAACTTTAAATTCCATCCGTTTCGATGTGCGGTTACCAAAATGCACTCCTTTATACTGCCGAGTGGGGTATGGCTCATTCTGAAACAAAAGGAATGCAAAACTCTGCATTAGTTTTCCTACTTTAAGATAGATATCATCGATAGTAATGACAGATTAAGCATCTTTGGAAAGTCTTATCCCTCGGCCAATATCATAAAAACAGATTATCTGGTGGTGACTCCTTTAGGGAGCTTGTTGTGTAAGAACTGGCTGCCTCATTGCCTGCATTTCACAGTAATTATACTTTGGAAGTGCCTAGTTGATCATGAAGTGCTTTGGGACATCCGGAGGTTGTCAAAAGTGCTATGTAAATGCAATGTTAACAGTGAGCCAATTATCTGTTCTTCTGCTGCGAGTGAGGGATACATGTTGGCAAAAGCACTGGAGGAACTCCCTGACAGTGTCAATGGATTATCTTACACCTGAGGGGGTGCAGAGAGAGACGGTTCAAGTTTAACTTCACATGCAATGCTGTATTGCACTGACAGAACTAGCAGAAATATTGTGCTCAAATCTCTCAAGTGATACTTAAACCCACAACCTTCACAGTGTATGCAGGATAGAACGATGCCTGAGCTCCAAGGGTTAAGGTGCGAGGAGAGATATGAACAAATTAGGGTCATATTTCCTAGAATTTGAAAGATTCAGCACCAATTTCATTGAAGTTTTCAACATATTAAGGATAAAAGATTGGATTAATCAGGAGAAACTATTTCCACTCGTTGGGAAATATCAGATTCAGGGGATACAAATTAGCACCAGACATTTCACACACAAACTGGCAAAAGTTTGGAGCTCTCTTGTACAAATGTCAATTGATGCCAAAACAACTAGTAACTTTAAAATGGATATGGGTAGATTTTTGCTGGAGATACTTTGAGGAGACATGTGGAGTTAGAAGACAGATCAGCCAGAATCTCACTAAATGGTGAAGTAAGGTGAAGGGACTGAATCACTTTCTCCTGTTCCTGTGACCCCAAACTTCTGAGCAGAACATGAGCATGCCACATGGATTATCCCTGAGACTGTTTGAAATGAATCACCCATCTTAGGACCAGGCCCATAAAGCACAATGATGTTTGTGTGTGCCATATCAGTCACGGTCGAGTGGTGGAGCAGACCTGATGGGCCAAATAGCCTAAGTCTGCTCCAATATCTCACATCTTATCGTATAAATTGACAGTTCTGAAAAGATTAATGCTGGAGGCTGCATTAAATTCTACCCAATCTGATGATATTGTACACTCTTGAGTGGGGATAAGGTGGAACAGCTTGGGATAGCAGAGACAACAAGGTGCAGGGCTGGATGAACACAGCAGGCCAAGCAGCATCATAGGAGCAGAGAGGCTGACGTTTCGGGCCTAGACCCTTCATCAGAAAAGCACTGTTATCCAGGTAACAATGCCTAACTTATTCCGATAACTTGTGCCTAATTCCTAAACAAGGCATTTAACAAGGTCCCTCAGGCAATAAACAATGTCTTTCTTTAATCAAAAGTCTTGTCTCATTAAGATTCACTGTGACAATGAACTACCACAACCACAAGCTGGTCATTACCTGGCAGCACAACACACACAGCATTCCCAAAGCAACACAGTCTTCATTACCACTTACAGTCCAAACTCCCTCGAGTCAAGAGATGAAATTGTGCTGTGCCCTCCTCCACCAAGGGTGCCTAGCGTTTACAAGGGGAATGTGAAAGAAGTTGTCTTTGAATCCTGACTCTGAACCCACAAACAATGTTGGGGCATCACTAAATGTGAGGATGTTTTTAAAATGCTGCTCCTGATTGCAAGGCAATCAATTCTGCTCTGCTTCCAAGAAATACCCAATAATGTTTGAAACTAATTACTGCAATCCTGATGAACTACCTGGTACTGTTTGAACTTAGAAACTAATTTTAATAAAACGACAGGTTTGCATTTTTCTTTATTCATTGACAATATGTCGCAGGCTGGGCCCACACTTATTGCCCATCCCTAATTGCCCAGAGGGGAATTATTAACTCCATTGCTTTGGTTTTGGAGTGATGTGTAGATTAGACCAGGTAAGGATTATAGTTTCCTTCCCCAGAGTACATTAGTGAACCAGGTGATTTTTCCCCAACAATGGTTATCATTAGAGTTTTAATTCCAGATTTTTATTGAATTCAAATTCTACCATCTGCCATGGTGGGGTTCGAACCCCAATTCCAAGAACATTCCAACTAGGGAAAAGGCCATACTAGATCTAGTACTGGGGAATGAGCCTGGCCAAGTGATTGAAAAGTTTCAATGGGGGATTATTTCAGTAACAGTGACTTATGGATAGAGATAAGAGTAGTCCGCAGGTAAAAGTACTAAATTGGTGAGAAAGTCAACCACCACAATATGGGGCAAAAACTGAGGAATCTAGCTTGGGAGCGGATGTTGTTACAGAGATAGTAGGAACTGCCGATGCTGGAGAATCTGAGGTAACAAGGTGTAGAGCTGGATGAACACAGCAGGCCAAGCAGCATCAGAGGAGCGGGAAAGCTGACGTTTCAGGTCTAGACCCTTCTTCAGAAAACTTTTTCTGAAATTTCTGATTTTTCTGAAGAAGGGTCTGGACCCGAAACATCAGCTTTCCTGCTCCTCTGATGCTGCTTGGCCTGCTGTGTTCATCCAGCTCTACACCTTGTTATCTGGGAGTGAATGTGTCAGGGTAAATCCACATCTGGCGTTTGAGAATCCTTTAAAGGCCAGTTGATTGGAGTTCATGACCAGTATGTTCCTAAGGAAATGAAGGATAAGGATGGCAAGATTCAGGAACCTTGGATGACAAGAGAAATTGAGAATTTGGTCAAAAAGAAAAGGAGGTATACATAAGGTTTCAGAAACTGAAGACAGACAGAGCCCTCAAAGAATACAAAGATAGCCGGAAGAACTCAAACAAGAAATTAGGAGGACTAAAAGGGGCCACGAGATATATTTGGCAAACAGGATTAAGGAAAATCCCAAGGTATTTGATACATATGTAAGGAGCAAGAGGGTAGCTAGGCAGGGGTAGGTCCATTCAAAGTCAAAGGAGAGAATTTGTGTGTACAGCTGGAGGAAGTGGCTGAGGTTCTTAATGAATATTTTGCATTGGTATCCACAAAGGAGAAGGACATGGTGGGTGGTGAGTCTCAGGAGGAGTATGTTGATGTTCTAGGGCATGTCAGTATAAAAAAGGAGGAGGTGTTAGATGTTTTGAAAAACGTTAAGGTAAACACATCCCCAGGACTTGATGGGCTCTATCCCAGAACGCTGAGGGAGGCAGGTGAAGAAATTGCTGGGGCCTTGAATGAAATCTTTGTATCCACTTTAGCCCCAGGTGACTGGAGAATAGCCAACGTTGTTTGTAAGGACAACAGGGATAATCTGGGAAATTACAGGCCAGTGAGCCTTATGTCAGTGGTAGGGAAATTATTGGAAAAGATTCTTAGGAACAGGATTTACTCACATTTGGAAAAAATATGGATGTATTGGCAATAGGCAGCATGGCTTTGAGTGGGGAAGGTCATGCCTCACAGGAAACAGTTTTGGGCCCCTTCCCTAAGGAAAGATATCCTAGCATTGGAGGCAGTCCAGAGAAGGTTCACCAGCCTCACCCTGGGTATTGAGGGATTTTCTTAAAGAGTGGTTGAGTAGTTTGGGCTTGTACTCATTGGAGTTTTGAGGAATGAGAGGAGACCTTATTGAAATATTTAAGACTCTTCAGGGGCTTCAGGGTAGATGAGGAAAGATTGCTCCCCCTTGTGGGAGAGTCTAGGACGAGAGGGCATTATCTCAGAACAAGGTGTTACACATTTAAGACAGAAATGCAGAAGAATTTTATTTTTCTCTCAGAGGGTAGTGAATCTGTGGAATTCTTTATCGCAAAGGGCTATTGAGGTTGGGTCATTAAGTATATTCAAGTCTGAAAGATAGATTTCTAATCAGTAAAAGAATCAAGGGTTGTGGGGAAAGTTAGGAAAGTGGAATTGAGGATTATCAGATCATTCATGGTCCCATGAATGATAGAGGAGACTCGATTGTCCAAATGGCCTACTGCTGCTTCCACATTTTATTACACTGTAGAATTCTTTTTCACAGAACGCTGTGGAGGCCTGGATATTGAATTTATTTTAGGCTGAATTAGATTTGTGATGGATCAGGTACTCAAGGGTTATGGAGACAGGCAGAACAGTATAGCTGAGACCACAAGAGAATCTTATTGAATGGTGGAGCAGGTTTGAGGGGCTAAATGGCCTACTCCTGCTCCTACGTCCTACACTCCTATTAATAAGAGTATTCAAGGACCACTATTTTTATTTAAAGATCAGAATTTATTCCATGATTCTGGTTAAGCCAGAACTGCTCATTACGACAACGTTATGGCCAAGATATAGCAGAAATAGTGATCAAAGGGTGGGTCACAAAGTTTAATTTTAAGGAGGAAAGAGAGATAGTGAGGTAGAGAAGTTTTGGCAGGGAATGGTCTCAAAGGTAATTTATTTATTCGTGCCCGCCATTCCTTCAGGAATTATTATTGTCTCTAATTTCAAACAGGAACAGTTTTGTAAGCTTGGCTCCTTATAACACAATATTAACAAGAAACATAACTTCAAGGCTCACTGTCTGCTGCTCTCAGTATTGATTACCGCACTTGAAACTAAAACCACTGAATTATAAATAATGCAAATTGGCCAGTACTTTGGAGACCTTTCTGATCCTCAGGTAAGAATTCCCCATTTATCACTGGATTAAGAGCCTGTTAGAAAAACAAACATGGCATAAAATAATTAATGTTACCCTAATAATCCTAAATCACCAAATTCTTAATGCCTCAAAAATGCCATCACAAGGTCATCGCGAGCTATAATTACTCATTTAGCTGATAAAATATGGTTTAATTGGAGTAAATTCATCTTGATCCTGCCTCACATCTCTGGTGAAAGTTGCAATATAAATTTGCAAAAGAATTACTGATCTTCCCTCAGTCTGACAGCCAAATGGATGGGGAAGGTGCTTTGAAACCTTTTCTTGAAAAAAATGATC